CTATGGGGAGGAAGTGGGAGGGGAGCTGTTGCATTGTGGTAAACTGTGGTCAATGACATGAGACAAAGTATATGTGAACTGCTGTATGGAAAGTGAATTTCCTCTGTAAATCTTCACCCAAATCACAATAATAAAAAAAAATTATTGTATTACTTTGACTGCAGAAATTACTTATGACCAAAAAGAGGCAAATAGTCTACACTGAGAAGTGCGTCTGCACCCATCCAATGACTTTATTTGTAAAGTAACTCTTGATGGATACACTACATAACAGACCCCAGGTTTGGGATATTAAAGAAACGAAAACACTTGGTTTTCTATGAGTTATACTAAAAGGCAGCCAAAAAGGATCAATCAGCGTGATAATCTAATAAGCAGATAGTTAACAGAGAAGCAAGTACTGAGCATGGTACACCTGAAGGGTTCTGCACCCACCTGAGTGCCCATCACCACCTGCCATGCAGGCAGGTCAACATTTTCGTGTGCAATTAACCAATATTCTGCAACAGCTCAAGTACCTTCTTAAATGGATAATCAATTGGCATTTTGGATTCTCTTTTTATCAGAAAATACTGACAGTCCTGGGAAAACAAGGCATGCATGATATCAAAGATTTAATTTACCTGACAGGAAATAACAAACAGAAATAGTTACAAAATCAGGCCACAGGAATCAATCAGTGTAAATGCCTGACCCGCTCCTTATGCAGTAGTAGTCTTTCTGAGCACCCGAAGTGAGTGAAGAGCAGCATAAAGGCCACTGAATTCATTCGTCCAACACACTGGTGGGAAATAACATTTTAAATTTCAGTTGGAAAAACTGGCCACTTACCCAATTTAGATTTCAGGTTTTTTTATTTTTTACAAGTTCTGTGGTTCATATTCAAAGTTCAATTTCTGTTTAATGTTTTTCAGTTCAGACGTGTCAAACCCTAAAAGAAGTAGAGAAGCCTTGTGAGTTTTTATGGCTTTCATGCAAATATACCTTCTTTTCCCAAAGAACGAGGCCACGTGGATCTTGCACACCCACAGGAGTGAGGAAAGCAGCTCTATCTCCTTCTTGCTGGGGTACGGTCTCTTGTGGAAGTAGTCCCTCAGGAACTGTTTCTTGTCCTCGTAGGAGTGGTCCTCGTCCTTCCAGGGGTTCAGGGCAAGGATCTGAAGCATGTCATCAGTAACGAGCAGTCCATCCGTCCTGCTCTGGTTCTGCTGTCTCTTGAAAGGCATGGCACTTGCCGCCACCATTTCAGGAGCGGCTGTGGAGTCAGCATCGATGACAATGGGCCACTCCTTGGGTCATCCATCCCAGCATAGCGATCGGGCAGCTTTCTCTTTATGGAGAAGCTGGACTTGTGGATCATGTCCCCACTAAGCAGAAGCAGCCCCCTGTTGTCGATGAGCTGGGCTGTAGCTGCTGGTCTGAGCTGTTGTCCTTCAGGGTGCTCTGGCACCACAGCATGTGGATGGCAATAGCCGCCAGGGTCACGTCCTGGTGTAGAACCCACTGCAGTGGATGCACTTGAATGCAGGCGACCTCAAGACCATGTGTACAATCAGTGTGATGTGGTGCCTCTCCTTCAGGTGCTCCTCATACACCTCCATGGTCACAAAAATGCCAAAGCAGAAGGGGCAGGTCATTGCCTGCTGGCTGGGGCTGCACCTTAATGTACACAGGCACAAGCGCCTTTGAGTGCATGCCCGCAAGCACTGCCAGGTATACTTTCCGCTCACCAAGCTCATCCTTCAGCAAGAGGGTGATGAAGTCAATGTGGGGAAAGAGCAAGTTGCCAGCGGCATCCATGTCCAGCTGGAAGCCCCTGCTGTAGTCCATGGACAGCCTTCTCTTGCCCAGGTGCTTGGTACAGCTGTGCTCCACAAGGGCCCTGAGGTCATGGAACATACAGGGGCAGGAGAGGCAGCCCAGGCCATGTGTCAACAAGTGGCAGATGAGCTCACCGTCTGGGATGGGGCATTTGCAGGACACACAGCAGTTTTCTCCTTCACCCACTTCAGGAACGGTGTGCAGGCTGCCAGCTTCTCCAGCTCAAGCCTCTCACTGGGTTTGGCCTTGCTGTGCTTGTGCACCATTTCCATGTGGACCTGGTACACATTGGAGGGAAACAACTCGTTGCAGATGGGGCAAGTCTTCCACTGCTTAGCCTGCTTGAGGGCCTGACTTGTCTCTAACATGGATGATGAGGCCTGAACAAACATGTTCTGAGGTGTGCCCACCACCACGGGTGGCAGGGACAGGCTGGCCACCCCAGGTTTTAGCAGCTGGAGGGGCATCTGGGGTGGGGCAGTGGCTGCGACGCCCCCTGGAGGCATGGGCAGAGTGACCGAGACCGGAGCCAGTGTGTATGTGGGGATACCATTCACCTGATTCCCTTTGGGGATGAGCTGTGGATGGAGTCTGAGGTGAGAAAGGTGGTGCTGGGTGCAGCACCATGTTTGATGGGCTGGCTCACAGGCAGGAGGCTGGTGCCAACAGATTGGCCGAACTGCAGGATACCAGGCCGCACAGGCTGACCCACTGGAAGGATGCCTGATACAACGGGTTGGCCCAGCACCAGGATTCATGCTCTGGCCCACAGACAGTACCCCCGATGAGACTGCTGACGCTGGAGGAAGCAGCCCTGCAGGGACCACATGGCCAGCCGCAAGTGCCCCAGATGTGGCCTTCTGGCCTGCAGGAAGGACCCTCAATGGGACTGTCTGGCCAGGGGGGAGTACCTGAGATGGGACTACTAGCCCAGCAGGGAGCACACCTGATGGGGACGTCTGGCCAATGGGGACCACCCCTGATTGGACCACCTGACCAGCTGGGAGGACCCTTGAAGAAGCTGTCTGTCCCAAGTGGTCTGCAGGAAGTACAGCTGAGGAACTGTCCAGCCCACAGAGATCACCCCTGGTGGAACAGCCTGCAGAGCCCCAGGGGCAACTGCATGCCCAACAGGAAGGATGCCAGGCCCAGGGGGCTTGCTGCCCGGAAGAGCTCCAGCCCCACTAGGTCTATTCAGGGGCCCAACAGCCTGAGTGAGGGGCAGAATCCCTGGGCAGATGGTCTGGTTCACAGGGAGAACACTGGTCTCAGTAGAGCTGGCTATGAGCCCAACAGGCTGGCTCAGGGACAAGACAGTGGGGCTCACCAGCTGGCTGGGGGGACACTGTGGGACATGAAGACAGGCTTCAGGACTGGCGTCAGCAGAGTCAGGCCATTGGGGCCCACTGGCAGTGGACTGGAGACAAGTGTCACCTGGGACTGGGTGATGGCAGGGGGGACCTGGGAGGTGAGCGCCCCCAAAAGTATCCGAGGCCACAGAGACAGGCTGAACTAAGGTTTGGCTTTGGCTACTCTGTGGCAAGGCAAGATGGAAGCAAGGAAGCATGGCTGGGACCCCTGGCACGCTGCTGTTGGGTGGGATGGCCAAATGTGCAGTTGGTTTGGAGACAATCATCAAAAGTCTCAGTTTTCTTAATGTGCTCTAAGATCACAGATCTCAGCTTATTCTCCAAGTCCCTTTGTGTATCTGAAGTCAGAATGTGGTACATGAGAATGTTCTGGCTGCTGACATTGGTGCTGTACTTTTTACAGTAATTCTTGTTGGGAGGCAGTATCTCTCAGCAGGAAGAGTGTCACTGGCCCTCGACAGCTCAGCCACCTCCTTGGTCTGCAGGCCGAAGTAGGCGTTGATTAGGTGGTGGAAGCGGGCAATCAGCACATTCTTCTTCATGCTGTAGACAATGTGTTTGGCACATGGAACTTGTGGCGTCACTCCTGGAAGATCTGGCTTCGCCTAGAATGTCCACTGGGTTCTGCGCCTTCCAAGCAGGCACATGGAACATTCTCAGGTGCTTCCCCATGACGTTGGGCTGCAACACAAATGCACAATGCGGGCAAGAGACCACCAGCTCCTGGTCCATTTCATCCTCATGGCAACGATGCAGATGATTTCTGAAGGACGTGGGCACCTTTGTCAAGTATTTGCAGAGGCTGCAGCAGTAGGGATTTGGCTGGTACCTCACTTTCTTCCCAGAAGGTTCCCAGAGAGAAACATCTCCCCATGATTTGTTATGAAAGTACTTCTCTGGATCAGAGGGTTTAAGGTCCTTCAGTAACTTCTTGCAGCTGTCAAGCCCAATATCCAAAAGAATGCCTTTTACCTTTTTTCACACCTTCCTGATGTTGTCAAGATTTTCCACAGGAATTTAAAACACTTTTGAAATTTTCACCACTCAGCTGTCTCCCATCTCCAAGCCATACAATATGTGAACCAACGGGCACAGGGCCTGATGCTCCAACACCAACTGCGGGTGCCAACTTTAGCAGTATGGTCCCTTCAGCCCACCAGCAATGGCAGATGCCAAGTCAAGCGGTAACGCCAACACCTACATCTCAATCACCACATCTGCGTCAGACCCTCGCAGGTGAGGGCAGCAACACGCCATCGGCTGCCCCAATGCAGAACACCCCCTGTGGGAGCGCGCAGTGGCAGGGCGGCCCCACGCCCCGGAGCGACCCCCGCGTGGCCTGGGACACTGCCCCCACCCAACTGCTGCATACTCATGGAGATTAGTTTAACTATCTCTCTGTGTTGCTTGGTGTGGTGGTTATGTTTGTATGTCAACTTGGCTGGGCCTGGTTGAGTGGATGGGCAGCTGGTGGTAGTTATTCCCCATGATGAGACTGGCAATCAACTCCATGGTAGGATCTACCATAAGTAGCTGAGTAGCTGCCTTTGGAATGTGGTCTGCTTCCTGTATATAAGAAGAAGCCTTTGGGAATGGTCTCTAGCCTATGACACGCTTGGACCCTGCATGTAGCCGTGTCATTGCTCAGTAGTCTGCGATGCTCTGCCGACCTTGGGACTTACAATGGACTTAAGTAATGGCCTGCCGCATGATTTGGTAACATCGGGACTGTGCCTTTTTACTTGTCAACCTTGGGACTTCTCAGCCTCAGCAGCCAGCAGCTGTCTGAGTGAAGAAACGCCTCTAGCTCCAGTGGGCCAGAAGTAGGAGGCAGAGCTGAACCCCAAGGTTGAGGGGCTTTCACCCAGCCCCTAGAGCCTGGCACTTTGAACTTGGACTAAAAGCCTCCAAATTGTAAGAATAAACTCCTGTTTGTTTAAGCCATCCCATTTGTGGCATATTCTTGTCAGAGCAGCACTAGATAACCAGAACAGAATTTGGTACTGGGAGAGTGGGGTGCTGCTGTGACAGATATCTAAAATGTGGAAACAGGAGTGGAGTGCGTCCTTGACCCGAGACCCTGGCAGAGAGACCCCAGCATACAGCAGGACAGATGGCAGGACAGATGGCAAGAGACTGGCATGAGAGGTGGCAGGAGCAGAGCTGAGAGAACTGGCATGAGACAGCGACAGCCTTACCAGCCGATGGAGGAGAAAGCTGGGTGCCTTTGGTTAGGCGGCTTACTGGCAGAGTGGGTTGCCTTCAGACATTAATTGGTAGAAAAGATCAGCAAGAAATGGATTAGCAGATTGGCTGGCCCACAGAGCAAAAAAGCCAAGTGTTTTTTGGGCAGAAAGATTTCTGACGGAGTGGGTTGCCCTCGGGCATTAATCAGCAGAAGCGGAGAGACCAAGGAAATGGAAGCAGAGCTGCTTCAGCCTGAAAGGGAAGGACCATGGCCTTTGGGGGTGGAATGATCACAGTCCCTAGGTTTCAAAGAGCCAGGCCTTCACCAACTTGGTTCTGGAGTGTGGGCTGCTCGTTCATGTGAGCCAGTGGGATGGAGCCATAGCCACTGCCCAAGAATGTGGGGGCAGGGCTGCCATGCCCAAGAGGGAGAGGAATGGGGCCACCAGGCCAAGGGGGTGAGGTCACCATTCAGGAACTAGGGGACTGGAGCCACCCAGTGAGGAGATCTGTACAGATGCCACCCAATGAAGACCTGTACAGGTGCCAAGTTGACAAGGGGTGGAACTGTGGTGGTTATGTTTGTGTGTCAACTTGGCTGGGCCTGGTTGAGTGGTTGGGCAGCTAGTGGTAGTTATTCTCCATGATGAGACTGGCAATCAACTCCATGGTGGGATCTACCATAAGTAGCTGAGTAGCTGCCTTTGGAATGTGGTCTGCTTCCTGTATATAAGGAGAAGCCTTTGGGAATGGTCTCTAGCCTATGACATGCTTGGACCCTGCATGTAGCCATGTCATTGCTCAGCAGCCTGCTATGCTCTGCTGACCTTGGGACTTAACAGTGGACTTAAGTTAATGGCCTGCCGTGTGGTTTGGTAATATCGGGACTGTGCCTTTTCAGTTGTCAACCTCGGGGCTTCTCAGCCTCAGCAGCCAGAAGCTGTCTGAGTGAAGAAACACCTCTAGCTCCAGTGGGCCAGGAGGAGGCAGAGATGGACCCCAAGGTTGAGGAGCTTTCAACCAGCCCCTAGAGCCTGGCACTTTGAACATGGACTTAAAGCCTCCAAATTGTAAGAATTAACTCCTGTTTGTTTAAGTCATCCCATTTGTGGTATATTCTTGTCAGAGCGGTACTAGGTAACCAGAACACTTGGACATCTTAGCAAGATGTTACATACACACATGAAGGTTTTTGCTTGCCTTAGGCACGGCACCACCAGCATTCCTTCTTACCTTTCAGGAAGGATGTGATAAGCCAGAGCTGCATAAGCTTCTGGCGTGGTTCAGCCCTGTGCTTTTTTCCCATACAGCCAGTGAGAGAGTATACAGGGGCCAGAGGCAGATGCCCAGCTCAAAAATGCACTATATGCCCTGCAGGTGATTGGACAGCCAAGTGGGGTAAACTTCTGGAGACCCTGTTGCAGGGGAGGAGAAGATGCTCACCTGGATTATGTTGTTTTTATGGACTTCATTCTTCAGCATCATGTTAGTCCGCCACTGCGTGTATTTCTCCTGGTGGGCATGGATCTCAGAAGTGAGGGTGGACTTCCGACTTCGTAAGTCTTCAAGACTGGGGGAAAGGTGAAGTGGTAGAGCCAATAGTTTTTCATCTGAAAGTTCTTCTTGTGAAATGGGCATCCCGAACTCTTGACTCAAGCATTTGATCATGGTGGAGGTAGGCAACATGTCCCGTGTGACCACATCCCTGAGCTTGGTGCTTTGATGGCAGATGTAGTGGAGCCTGAAACACACAACAGCCACCCTGCTCAGCTCATAGAGGTCAAGTTGCTGGCACCAAGATTGAGCTAGCAAATGAAGAGCCCAGATTCAAGTCTGATGACTCCAGAGAGGCCATGTAAAAGGGGCCCAGGAATGCCTTCTTTCCTCTCTTCCCTAAACTCCCAAAATAAAGGTCTCCCACATTCTTCTCTAAATACTTTTCTGTTACTATGGCCTTCTCTCATGCTTCTTACCAGCCCACATCCCACTGGGGAATAGTGCCAATGAGCTGGTAGTTAGGATTATACCACTGTGCCTCCTGCACCAGAAGGAGGACAATACACACATTGCCTCATTTCTTAACATAGCTCAAGGACTGAACAGTCATTCCTTGTCCCATCCAGCCCATTCCCCAATTCTGAGAACTGAAGTTTAGAAGGACAGCGGTACTGAACTCATTGCCCTTTCCCAGGACCTAGTATGCAGTGGGCATGTGATTAACACTGACGTTCTCTGGGAACACATGTTCGGGGAGCTGTTACTTGCTAGCTCACTGTTTCAACTATTTCTGAAATCTGGTGGGGAAAGAGATGCCTGTGGAGCTTGGATTTGACCTCTTATTAGCTGAGTGACCTTGCTCCACCACTTAATCTTTCCAAGCTTCTGTTACCTCATCTTTCTGAAAGGAATAAAATCATAATGTAGGCAACTACCAAGGATGCAATAGGAACTTAATAAATATTATTTTTCTTCCCTTTCCCTAATAACATCCCCCAACTATTTCCTGTCACCACCAAGCATGACCCAGTCCAGCCTCCTCTGACTGGTCATCCAGGCCCTTGACCCCTAAATGCTCAGGTGCCCAGCACTCACATGCCCTCCCTTACCTGGAGTCCCCACCCCGCTGTTTTGAGAATTCCCCAATCTGTGCTTGCCCAGACCCTCAGCAGAGCTGAGAGTGGCATAAAACGAACACCTTCTCAGCCTTTCTTCTTCTGCCTTATTAATACATCCAACAGGTGCTTAGCTACGGGTTGACTCTAGGCTAGACCTGCTGCTGGCTTTAAAAATACAGCCTCCTCCCTAGCAACTAATATGCTGTCAACTCAGTGCATACCTGCTCGCTGCTTCTCCACTTCTCCACACTCAGCCTCACTGCACCTCCCAAAAGAACCACCATTCCCCCTCCTTAGTGGCCCCTGAGCCTGGCTCAGGTTGTCACAGGGTCCTAGTGCCCTACTTCACTTATTTTTTTGTGTGCCTTCTCTTCTAAACTGAGGTTCCTGGAGAGAGGGTACTAAGTCTGAAGTCTCTTAGATTGAGCTATTAGGGTGGCTGTTTAACTTATGAATGGAGGACACACAGACTCGAAGGGGGATGCTCAACAGAGAGCTCCTTAAAAGGAGGGAAGCATCACTGCTCACAGCCCAGGGGAGTAGCAGCTTCCCAGTGGGTTAGTGTGAGCTGTCACCTGAAGGCTGAGACAGGTGGACAGAGGAAATACTTGCATTCAAGCAGAAAAACAGCACATGAAAAGGTGTGTAAGTACTGAAAGGTCTTGATTTTTGGAGAAGGGCTTTCTGAGGAATGGGGATGAAGGCAGGGCAGGGTGTTTAGGAAAAAGCAGACAGAAAGCAAACACTGAGTTGAGAGAGGAAGCTATTGTGGCCTGGCTTATCTGATGGGTCCAGTGCTCTACAACTTCCCTGTCGCTTCTTCAGACAGTGAAACTTAGCCAATTGGTCACTCCACAGGCTATTCCAGAGCTTTCTCCAAGAACAGTAGACACAGTAGATTCATGACGTGTTTGATGCTTCTCAAACTATCTTGGGAGACCATGTGGAGAAGTGGAAAAAACAGGTTCTAGGGTCACCCTGAACTGGATTCCACTCTTGGCTCAACTCCTGTGGCATAAAGAATAATACAAACTGCCCCTCAAAGGACCACTGTGCAGTCTATAGTGGATCTCACAAGGGCAGCCTGGTCAAGCAGGCACCCAGCTGGCATCCCAGGGGATGGTGGATCAAGCAGCCCCACCTGACCAGGGCCTGGAAGGTGTCCTGTGGCACAGTGTTCCGGACATAGAGCTGGGGGTGCTTCATAAGGAGTGACAGGGGCTTGAAGAGGTGCACATGGTACAGGATGGTTTCCAGGTCTGCGTAGAGGCGGTGATGGAACAGGAGATGGGAGTTGTAGAGCACCTTGTATTTTCTGCATTCTGATATGTGAATTCTGTAAGAGAAGCCATGGTTAAGAGCCTTAACACTGATATTCAAGTTCTTGGAATACTTTGGATGTGCTACTTAGCTCTGTCTGCCAGGTAGAGATAACTTTTTGTGTATTTAAAGTCAAACAGACAAGAGAAATACATTAATAACAAATGCTACCTGGTAGATAAACTCTTTCAAAAACTGGGGCCTTAAAAGGGAAATTGGCACTGAAAAATGTTGAAACCAGCCTTGCCAGTCTCCTGTACCACTCACAGTCCTCCTCCCTTCCTTCCACACCTCCTTGTTGTCCCCTTCATTTTCCCCTGCCCTGGCACTCACACTTTGAACCCTGGCAGTGTCAGTCTGGCTGAGTGTCTAAATACACCCTGCTATTAAATTTCTCTGTGCTCACTATGTTGCTCCTTCTGTATCTTTTTGAACCTGGTAATATCTACATTTTTCCTTCAGGACTCCATTCAGGAAGCTATGGTTTGGGCCATTGTGAAGTGCCTATTCAAGTCTTTTGTCCATTCTTTTGCTGGGATTTCCTTATTGATTCACAGGATTTTTTAATATAAGATTGTAGCTCTTTGTCAGTTCTACATATTGCAATTTTCTCTCAGTTTGTGGCTTGTCTTTTCATAATTTTCATGGTATCTTTTGAGGGACAGAAGTTATTATTGCTAATGTAGTCAAGTGTATTATCCTTTTACTTTATGCTTTGTACTTATGTCTTGTTCAATAAATCTTTTTTACACTTTAGTCTTAAATATGTTCTTATACATTAGTATCTAAAAGCTTTATAATTTCAGATTTTTTTCTGGTGAATCTGAGTAAGAGCAGAAAATTATAGTCTAGTTAATTTACTGTGCCAACCACTTTCCTGGCTTTGATAATGCACTATAATTATATAAGATGTCACTGTTGGGGGAAGCTGGGAAATGAGACCTCTCTGTACTATTTTTGCAACTTATTGTGTGTCTATAATTAACCAAAATAAAAAGTTAAAAATGAGTTTTAATCTATCTAGAATTGATTATTGTGAATTGTGTGAGCCAGAAAATAAGGGTACTTTTAGCAAATAAGGAACAGAACAATTTGATAAAGGAGATTTTAAAAACTATAGCTAATATCATCCTTAGTCGGGAAATATTGAATGCCTTATCCCAAAGACCAGAAAAAAAGGCAAGGATGTCTGTCCTTGCCACTCTTACACAAAATAGTACTGGAAGCACAATTAGGGAATAAAGGCATATAAATTGGAAAGGGAGAAATAATATTGTCCTTATTTGCAGATGACATGATATCTATGTAGAAAATTCCAAGGTATCTACCAAAAAAACCACCTAGAACCAAAAAGTGAGTTTAGCAAGGTTGCAGATTACAAAATCAATATATGAAAATTAACTGCATTCTATATACTAGCAATGAACACATAAAAACTGAAATGAAAAATACAGTATCATTTACAATCACTAAAAAAAAACTTAGTTATAAATCTAATAAAACATGTATAGGAGTTGTATACTGAAAACTACAAAATGTTGATAAAATTTTTTTAAAAAAATCCATTAAGTTGATTCTCATTCATAGTGACCCTTTAGGGCAGAGTGAAACTGTCCCGTAGGGTTTCCAAGGGTGTAAATCTTTACAGAAGCAGACTGCCTCATCTTTCTCCCATGGAGGACTTGATTGTACTCATGAGGAACCTGTACCATGACCAGGAGGCTGTCGTTCTAACAGAACAAGGGAACACTACATGGTTTAAAATCAGGAAGGGAGTGCGTCAGGGTTGTATCCTTTCCCCATACTTATTCAATCTATATGCTGAGCAAATAATCTGAGAAGCTGGACTATATGAAGAAAAATGTGGCATCAGGATTGGAGGAAGAATCATTAACAACCTGATATACGCAGACGATACAACTTTGCCTGCTGAAAGTGAGAATCACTTGAGGCACTTACTGATGAAGGTTGAAGAATACAGTCTGCAGTATGGATTACGTCTCAATATAAAGAAAACAAAAATCCTCACAACTGGACCAATGAGCAGCATCACAATAAATGGAGAGAAGATTGAGGTTGTCAAAGAATTCATGTTGCTTGGTTCTACAATTGATGCCAATGGAAGCAGCAGTCAGGACATTAGACGACGTGTAGCATTGGGAAGGTCAACCGCAAAGGAACTCTTTCAAGTACTGAGGAGCAAGGATGTCTCCTTGAGGACTAAGGTGCGCCTGACACAGGCCATGATATTTCCAATCGCATCGTATGCATGTGAGAGCTGGACAATGAATAAGGAAGACCAAAGAAGAGTTGATGCTTTTGAGTTGTGGTGCTGGTGAGGAATGCTGAAAGTACCATGGACTGCTAAAAGAACTAACAGATCTGTCCTGGAGGAAGTGCACCTGAAATGCTCCTTGGAAGCGAGAATGGCCAGACTTCGTCTCACCTATTTTGGTCATGTTGTCAGAAGGGACCATTCTTTGGAGAAGGATGTCATGCTTGGTAGGGTGGAGGGTTGACGAAAGAGGGGGAGGCCTTCAATGAGATGGATTGACACAGTGGCTGCAATGATGGGCTCAAGTACAGCAGGGATCGTGGAGCTGGTGCGGGATCAGGCAGTGTTTCTTTCTGCTGTGCATGGGGTCGCTATGAGTTGTAAATGACTCGACGGCACCTAACAACAACAACAAAGCCAGGGGCTGCATGGAGGATTGGACTGGTGGCTGGTGAATAAAAGGGGAAGCAGCAAAGAGGGAGACAGGCTGAGCTGTGGACTTCTGTCTGTTCAGAGGGTGCAGCCATTTTGAATGTTTACAAGCGGTTTGACCATTTTGGATATTTAAAGCGACAGCCTTCTCTCACATTCCAGGGACTGAAGAATAGGTTCCACTTGCCAGGAACTGCAAGGACATTACAGACGTGAATGACTGGAAAGGTGCAATAGTCCCCTTCTTACTCTTAAACCCCACATCCTCTTGGTGAATGGCGGTGTGGCCATCTCTCACTCCCATCCACCTCCTGGGCTGGCAGGAATTCCAACCCAGTGTGTGTACTCTAATGGAGCCTGGGTCTCTGCCCCTCCTTGCCCAGATTTTTTTTCCTTTTCTTTTTTAGTTTGTTTTTGTCTGTTTTAAAATTATTACTATTAGTATTCTTTTTTGTTGTTGTTGTTATCCTTTTTTACTATTCTTCATTCTTCTCTTCCCAGGTTCTAGTTTTCAACTTTTTCTCTCATCCTCGTTCCCATTTTTTTCTTTCTCATGGTTAATCCCATTCCTTGTTTTTCTTTTTGAATTTTTCTCACTTTTTTCTTCATTATTCTCCTCTCCACCTCTTTTCTCTTATTGTACCCTCCCCAGATATTGTGGAGATTTTTTGGTTAGTGTTGTTTTTTTTCTTTTCTTTTTTTGGTGATTGTTCCTGTGTGTTTATGCGGTGTGTTTTTTTGTTCACTTGCTTTTACTTTTTGATGGTTTTTCAATTGTTGTTTTTGTCTGAGTGGGAGATGGCAACTGTATCCATACAGCACAACCACACTTGTACCTCCTGCAGCTCCACTTACTGAGTGAGAGCCACCACTTCCTTCTCTACCAACTGGCCAACAATAAACGACCACCAAGAAGTGCATGACTCACCATTACTGCTCTTCATGAAGAGTTAACAGAGATCTAAATACAACAATGTCACAATGTCTCGGAGACAACAGACCATCGCAGCCACACAAAGAATCAAGATAAAGTGGTAGAAACAAAGGAGCAAGATACAGACCCAGAATACATCCCTGAAGAAGCAGCAGCATTGGAAATCCCTGATAAGGAATTCAAAAGAATTATCTTTAGGTATCTTCAAACGTTTGAGAGACAGGTCAAGGAAAACACTGACAAAATTCAGGAAAACAGAGACAAAACCTTAGACCAATTTCAGAAGAAAATGCAAGAACAAAATTACAAAATAAGTGAAAAATTAGAAATGACACTAAATCTACAGATAGAAATCCAGAAAAAATACTAAATTTTCAGAAATAGGTAACACATTGAAAGGGCAAACTAATAGAATCGAGTCAATGGAAGACAGAATTATGAGACTGAAGACAAATACCTGAATACTTCTTTGGGAAGGGATGAATCAGAAAAAAGATCAAAACAAAATGAAGAAAGCTTAAGGTTAATGTGGGATACCATCAAAAGAATAACCAATATGGAATCAGAATTCTAGGACAGGAAAAGAATTTCCCTGGCATGATGAAAGATGAGAATATATCTATTCAAGAATTCCAACAAACCCCAAACAGGATAGACACCAAAAGAAAATCACCAAGACACACCATCATCAAACTCATCAAAACCAAAGACAAAGAAAGAATCCTGAAAGAAGCATGGGAAAAATGAAGAGTTACCTACAAAGGACAACCAACAAGAATAAGCTCTGATTTCTCAGCAGAAACCACGCAAGCAAGAAGGTAATGGGATGTTTTTGTTGTTATTGTTAGGTGTCGTAGAGTTGTCTCCGACTCATAGTGACTCTGCACAGCAGAATGAAACACTGCCCAATACCACGCCAGCTCCATGATCCTTGCTATACTTGAGCCTATCATTGCAGACAGTGTGTCAATCCATTTCATTGAGGGCCTTCCCCTCTTTTGTCAACCTTTTGCCTTACCAAGGATAACATCCTTCTCCAGGGAATGGTCCCTTCTGATAACATGACCAAAGTAGGTGAGATTAAGTCTGGCCATTCCCACTTCCAAGGACCATTCTGGCTGCACTTCCTCCAAGACAGATTTGTTAGTTCTTTTAGCAGTCCATGGTACTTTAAGCATTCTTCACCAGCACCACAACTCAAAAGCATCAATTCTTCCTTCATCTTCCTTATTTGTTGTTCACCTCTCACATGCATATGAGGTGAATGAAAATATCATGGCTTGTGTCAAGTGCACCTTAGTCCTCAAGGAGACATCTTTGCTCTGAAGCACTTGAAAGAGGTCCTTTGCAGCTGACTTGCCCAGTGCTATATGTC